TTTTGATGTTTATCTTTTTAAAACGCATAGACATTTTCAGACACAGAATATTCTAATGAATCCTAGGTGCCCCTCATCCGCCTTCAACTATGAGCCTTTCACCAATCTTTCTTCATCTGTTCTCCCCGAGTTGTTCTTTTTTTCAGTATTATTTTAAGGCAATTCCCAGTATACATGCCATTTTGACTGTACATACTGAAGTATACATCTCTTAACTCATAAGGGTATCCACTTTTTAAGGTAACCCCTGGGTCATTTTCACACCTGATAACATTAACACCTTAATACCATCCATCACTGTGTTCGTAATCAGATTTCCCCAGTTGTCTAGAAACTGCTTCTGTTCATTCTCTCTCTTTCTCTCTCTCTCCTACTCTGCTTCCACCGCTTCTTTGCCCAGCACCTCTGACTCTCTCTCTGCTCTGTCCCCATGTAGCCTTGCCCCATCAACCTCTGATTTGGAGGTTGCTGATTTGCTGCCTCTCTCCCTTCCCTCAGCTGCCCTCCTGTATGGGGAGCAAATGGGTGGAGAGAAACATGGCTGGGAGGGGGGACCCTGTCCTTGGGGACCTCCCAGACCTGGTGCGTCCCGAGAGGGGAGGACTGGGCCCCCTCGGTGGGAGAGGCAACTGGGTGGTAGCCCTTTGTCAGGCGGCTCACTGGAGGAGGCAGGACCTCGGGTGCCCAGCTGGCCTCGACAGCCTCCCATCTGCGCTGCCTTCTGTGTCCAGGAGGATACACGGGCCCAGCGACAGCGGCTGCAGAAGCACCTGGCTGAGCATCTCCGCCAGACCTGGGGCCGACCAGGGGCTCCCGCGCAAGCCCGAGACCTGGGAGAGCTGCTGCAGGCCTGGGGTGCGGGGGCCAGGACTGGTGCTCCCAAGGGATCCCGTTTCACCCACTCAGAGAAGTTCACCTTCCATCCGGTGAGTGGGTCTGAGTGGCCCCGGGCGGGCTGGCAGGGCCGAGGCAGGCTTGCAGGGTCGCTGTCTGTGCAGACGACATACTTTATCAACACAGGTTCCTGTGTCCCCACTGGGTATGCCCTCTGTGCGCTGGGGGTCCCCTGGCTTCTCAAGAGCTTCCGTGGAGAAAGGGGGGAGGGGTGGAAACCATGGCAGGGTGTAGGGGTGCTTTGTGCAAACCCCAGCTTCTCCGGACAGTTTCCTTGGACACGTCTTTGCTCCTTGACCTAGAGGGGCCGTCATCCTTCTCGTATCGGGGTCTGGAAGGTTTCTTCATGAGCAAGAACTCCAGCCTGTGGTCTCAGAGTGTCTGGGTCCCATAAACCTGCTCTGACAGCCGTCAGCTTTTGAGAGGACAGGAGTATGGCGCTCGGAGGGGCTGCTGAGGCTGGGCTGGGAGGGGCAGGGCCTTCTCTGACAGCCAGGATACCCCCGTCTCACTCCCCCAGGAGCCCGAGGTCCAGGCAGCCCAGGCGTGCGATGTGCCGGCCCCCTCCCAGCGGCCTGAACAGGTAAGTGGAGCAGCGGAGGGGGTTCTGGGCTCCTGCCCTGCCTAGCAGGCCTGACACCCCCGCCCCCACTGGCCTGTCCCTCCCAGGACACGAGGGCAGCCCAAGAGCAGGAGCTGCAGTCTCTTCGGGAACAGCTGGAGGGAGTGAACCGCAACATCGAAGAGGTTGAAGCCAACATGAAGACCCTGGGAATCAACCTTGTGCAGGTGGGGGATGGGGGTGGGGGAGGGGCTGCCCACCTGGGGTTGGATCCTGGCAGGGCCTAAAGGGCCTAGAGGGACTTAAAGGGGCTGAGAGGGCTTGGTGGCAGTCTGCTGATGTCAGAAGGATTCGGGGACCTGTGGGCTCTTGAGGTTTCAGGAGAATCAGTGGGGGTGAGAGGGGGACGTAGGGTCAGGGGCATTGGAGCTGTGGGGGTTAGGGGCACCTGTGGGCTTCAGTCAGGATATGTTGGTGTCTGTGAGAATCAGGAGGGGTGTGAGCATCTGTGAGGGTGCGATGGGTCTGTCTGGGCAGGGGCTTGTGGGCCTTGTCAGGGCTTCCGGGGCAGGGGGAGGGGGTCATTGTGGAGGTAGAGGGATCAGAGGGGCCTGTGGGTGTTTGTCACCCTCAGGAGGGGTCAGGGGGCTGCTAGAGCGTGGAGGGGTGTGTTGTCATCTGGGGGCGCTCAAGCTCAATGGGGGCTAAAGGGCTGTGACGTATGGCTGGGCTCCTCCACCAACAGCAGCGGGGGTCTTGGGGTGCCAGGTAGAGGCAGAGCGTCGTCAGAGCGAGCTCAGCGTGGCGGAGCGTGAGCAGGTCCTGCGCTTGAAGAGCCGGGCGGCGGAGCTGCTGCCTGATGGGGCTGCCAACCTCGCCAAGCTGCAGGTGGGGCTGGCAGTGGGGCTGGGCGGGAGGGCCAGAGGCGGAGGGGTCCAGCCTGTGTGACACGGATCCCCTCGCATCACCCCCAGCTCGTGGTAGAGAGTAGCGCCCAGCGGGTCATCCACTTGGCGGGTCAGTGGGAAAAGCACCGGGTCCCTCTCCTGGCTGAGTACCGCCACCTCCGAAAGCTCCAGGATTGCAGAGAGGTAGGTTGTCAGGTCCCTGGGCTGTGGGTAGGGCGGGTTCAGTTCCTCCCTAGGGGGCCATCCTTGTGCTGTGCTCACTGCCCCTCTGCCCCTGGGGTCCTGGCAGCTGGAATCTTCTCGACGGCTGGCAGAGATCCAGGAGCTGCACCAGAGTGTCCGAGCAGCTGCCGAAGAGGCCCGCAGGAAGGAGGAGGTCTATAAGCAGCTGGTAAGGCCCGTGCGGGGGCCCTGAGTGGCTTGGAGTGGATGGGGACTGGGTCCCAGGAGAGCGTCTGCCGTGTTCCTATCTAGGTGTCTGAGCTGGAAACCCTGCCTAGAGACGTGTCCCGACTGGCCTATACCCAGCGCATCCTGGAGATTGTGGGCAACATCCGGAAGCAGAAGGAAGAGATCACTAAGGTGCATCACTGTGGCCGTGGAGGGTTGGGGCTGACAGGCAGACACGTGCAAGGGGCAGAAGCATGTAGCGTGGCCACACAGGGACCTCACGCCCTCTGAAAGGCAGAGCTCTCTAGCCACTGTCTGGGTGTGAGTGTGGGCTCACGGCTGCCCTGTTCTCTGCCAGATCTTGTCGGACACAAAGGAGCTTCAGAAGGAAATCAACTCCCTGTCTGGGAAGCTGGACCGGACATTTGCCGTGACCGATGAGCTTGTGTTCAAGGTGAGGGCCTGGCTGGGCTGGGTCGGGGGGTACAGTGCGTGCTAGGCTCCCGCCTGCCTATCTGCTCACAGGCTGGCTTGGGCCTCGGCCTGGTGTGAGCCGTGTAGGTACACTGCGGCTTGGGCCCTGCTGTAAGCCACGGAGGGGGAAGTCAGGGGAGTGGGAGAGGGTGGACTTGGGGTCCTGGAGGTGGTATGTGTGGGGGGCGAGGGGGAAGCCCACTGGTCCCTTCTGTCTGGTCAGGATGCCAAGAAGGATGACGCTGTTCGGAAGGCATACAAATATCTAGCTGCCTTGCACGAGGTGAGTGGAGAAGGATGCTGGGGGCCGGCCGGGGTGGCATGTGGTGGGGGTGCAAGCCTTCTGCTCTTGCCGTCCCCAGAACTGCAGCCAGCTCATCCAGACCATCGAGGATACGGGCACAATCATGCGGGAAGTTCGAGATCTTGAGGAGCAGGTGAGGCCCGGGGGTAGGAGGGGAAACCAAGGCAAGCCAGTGGACAGCACCTCGGTTTATGCCCAGAGAGGCTGTGGGAGCAGACATAGCCCATGGCTGGACTCTCAGCCTTGCCCTTTAGTAGCTGTGTGTGTGACCTGGCACCAGCCAGCGGCCAGAGGGCCCCAGCTTCCAGCCGGAAGGGCCTTGTACCTGCCTCCCTTGGCCATCGGCGGAGGCTTCAGCCAGAGTATGTGGTGGCTCATGCTGCCACGTTAGCACATGACACTTTAGGCAAACAGATGGCACGTGCAAAGGCCCTACGTTAGGGCACAGCACGCTGTTGCAGGAGGAGGGTGGGAGGAGCAAGGAGGGGGCCTCAAGTGGCCTTAATGGAGACGGGTGGCAAGCAGGAACTGAGACAGGGGCCCCACACACTGAAGGTCTGCGATTTGCCTTGCCTTAGATCGAGACGGAGATGGGGAAAAAGACCCTCAGCAACCTGGAGAAGATCCGCGAGGATTACCGAGCCCTCCGCCAGGAGAACGCGAGCCTCCTGGGGCGGGTCCGGGAGACCTGAGGAGCCGCAGCGCCGGTCTAGGCAGGGAGCTGGGATGTTGGGGGTGCTGGCCAAGCACTTGCCCTAGCCATTCCCTCTGTTGGCTGTGCTCCTCCTGCTGTGGCCTTGGGCCCAGACCCCCGCCCTCCTGACCCCAGCCCTGATCTGGAGTGATCATCCAGAGCATGGGAATTTGGCTGCCATTTATTGGAGAGGGCGCTGGGGTTAGGACCTTGGATCCCAAATAAAGAAGGGGGTCTGTCTGCAGTCTAAGCTGAGGCCTGGATGGGGACGTAGCGTTCAAGGCCGGGGAGGTGGGGCGGGCGGCGGGTGAGACATGGGATCTATCTGGTGATTCCATGGGTGTGGCTGTGAAAGCCCACTTGGGACCCCGGAGACCCACTGGGGCGCCAAGTGCATGTGCATGCACTTGTGATGTCCCTGTGCGTTCTCTTGGCCTGTGTGAGCGAGCTGATGTCTTGGGAGCTGCATGAGAATGTGCACGACTGGGGTGTGTTTGTGTGGTTCTTTGGGACCTGAGATCCTAAAGGTACCAAGGCTGCTTCTGGGCGGGGGGGGGGGGGGGTGCGCTGAGTACGCCCCATGTGACACCACATGCACGTGTGTGCCAGGCAGGGGGATGGCCGTGGGTGTGTGCTTCGGGGATTGTGGGTTGACAGGACCATGCTCAGGTGCGATGGTCTGTGAGGCTGTAGAGGTTGTGGTTATCCGAGAGTACTGAGGCAGGTTCTTGGTCCTGTGTCCAAGGGACAGGATGGACCCTGTGTGTGTGTGTGTATGTGTGTGTGTCTTCCAGCCCAAAGGTCACCTGTCTGAGTGACCGAGGCAGGCTGTGTGTGTGGTTGGTGTGAAGGCTCAGTTTGGCTAAAGAGCTTGTTGTGGGAAGCTGGGCCAGGGGGGCAGGGGCCAGGGCCCCTCTGAGCAGCCTTGGTGCAGGGCGGATGCTCTAGAAGGGTGGTCAGCTGAGGCTCAGGGTCCCTGGCAGGCAAGACCGTGCACACCTCACTTCTTGGCCCCAGTGGGCATGTCCAGGGCCCATCACCCCTGCCCCCGGCCACTTCCACCCCCCATTTCAGCCCCTGTCCATCCTTCCTCCTTTGCTTGGTTTTGAGGTTAGGGGCCGGGTGTGGGGTTAGCACTCCTGCTGGGCCTCTGGCTCCTCTTCTTGCGGAACTCGAATTCATCCACGGTCCACACGGCCCCTTTCTCGCTCTCCACCCTCACGAAGCACTTGTGCAGGCTTAGGTTGTGGCGGATGGCGTTCTGTGGGAAGAAAGCCCACCAGGCCAGGGGTAGGGGGAACGGCTAGGCAGTCAGCCTCTGAGGTCAGCAGGACCCAGCCCAAACCGGCCTCCCAGCCCTTCCCGACATGTCTACAAGCCCCCCACCACCACGCCACTCCTGAGCTTGGCCCAGCACCCCGGTGACATTAGAGGCCCTCCCAGCCACTGCCACTGCCAGAAGAGCTTACCTTCCAGGTGGCAGGGTGGTTTCTGAAGAAGGCAAACATGCGTGTGAACCAGTGGTAGATCTCATTGAGTGTCCGCTGCTTCTCAGGAGCCTCCAGGATGGCCTGGAGGTTAGGGGGTCAGGTGGTCAGGGAGCCCTTCCCCTGAAGTTGGGCTGAGAGTGGCAGTGGCCCACCTTGGGTGTCTGACAGGAGTGGAACTGGGGTGGGCAGGGGAAGAGAGGGAGGGAGACGGTGTGCAGTGATAGGTCAGTGACAGAGTTAGAAGTCGGGTGAGGTGGAGGATCAAGGCTGAGGTCGCAGTAAGGTCTGGTTCAGGGTAGGCCTGGGATTGGGTTAAAGGTCTGGGATGGAGTTGGAGCTGGCCTTCTCCACGGGAGCAAGACGTCAGGGTTTGGGAAGGTCAAAACCCAGGAGTAGGGCCAAGTTAAGGATGTGGGAGTGGTAAAGGGCCAGGCAGAGTTAAAGGTCAGCAGGAAAAGGGCTGGTTAAGGGTCTGGCTGGGGATGGACCGGGGCGAGTTGAGGGCTGAGGGATGGGATGGCATTAAGGTCAGGAGTCCGAGGCGAGCCTAGTGATGGAGTTATTTTCTGTGTCAGGCATGTGCTTAGAGTCAAGGTCAAGAATGAATTTGGTTGTATGTGGTCGTTCAGGGTCAGGGCTTATGTTAGGTGTGGAGTGAGGCTAACGGTCAGGGAATTGGATCTGTTTGGATTTAGGAGTGGGGTGAAGGAAAGGGTGGGAGATTACCACCACAGTGAGGTTCTGGGTCAGGGTGGGGCCAGGTAGGGGAATGTGTGTTGTTGTGGAGGGGTTAGGTGTGGGCCTAGGATGAAAGTTCTAGGCAAGCATTAGGGAGATTCAAATGAAGGGGCTGGGACTGGGTGAGGCCAAGGGTCAGATAGGTGTCACAAGGAAGGGGTGAGAGGCAGGATCCTGCTGGCTTATTGGGGTATGTGGGGGCTGGGGAAGGAGTTAGGATAGTATCTGTGGTGGGTTTAGGGCAAGGGGCAAAGATCAGGGTCATCTGGGGCTATTTTACGGGTCTGGGAGGGGGTTAAGTATGGGGTCGAGGTGGGCCCCGGGAAAGGGGTGGGGTGAGGGCCAGAATTTGGCTCACACAGGCCTGGATAGTGGTTTAGGTTTGGGTTGAGGGGCAGGTCTGGGGTGAAGCCGGCATGAGGGCGGGTGGGGAATCCTGTGGGAGGCCTGGGTTTGTTCATGAGGGAGCCTGACCTGGGGGTGCTTGGAAGGAGGCTGGGAATGTGAGAGCCTGGTGCTCCCCTTCTCCCCCGCCCATTTCTTTTCCTTCTTCTTGGCCCACACTGCCTGCTTACCCAGCGGATGAGGGTGGCATAGGTGAAGGGGGGCCGCATGTTGTGGAACTTGAAGTAGTCCATGTTGTGGAAGAATTCTGTAGGGGGTGGGGGAGGATCAGGTTCCATCCTGGAGCTCCTCGCTCCCTCTTCCATCTCCCCTGCTACAAGGAGAGGCTGCCCAGCTGAGATCCCTCACTGCCAGTTGTCACCCTCACGGTGACCATGCTGAACATTGGGCGCCGATGTGTCATTTACTGCTTGTGCTACTTGCACCAAAATGGGCCTCATTGTCACCGAAGTTGAAAGGAAGTGAAATAACTTGCACACCAGAGGGATTCAGGTGGCCAAGTGGCAGAGGCAGGATGGCACTCAAGGGCCCTGATCCCTCTTAAGCCCACAGCCCAGGCCTTGCGGGCAGCCCCTGGATCCATGAGCTTGGGAGAATCCCCCCGCTTTTCCTTGGAGGGGGAAGGGAGAGTCTCTGGGGAGTGAGGGGAGCTAGCTCCCTCCCTGCCCTCCCTTCTGACAACAGAATGGAGTAGCCAAAGCCCAGATTGAGTGAGCCCCAGGCCCCAGGGGAGATGGGGCTAGACAGGAGAAACCGCAGTGGGGGTGGGGTGGGAGCAGGGGGCTTACAGGCCTTGGAAACGCTTAAAAGCAGCTTTGGCAAGGGGTTGTGTTTTCCCAAAGGCTGAGTGGCAGTGTTGGGGAGGGTTGGTCCCGGCTATCTCCCACCCCGGGCCAGTGGGGGATGAGGGGCAGGGGGTAGGGTGTGTGGAGGCTGGACCACGTAGGGATATGGACCATACTTACCTGGGAACGTGCTGTTTCCATGGCTGCCCCAGAGGTGCCTCCTCACAGCGAACAGGCCGTCAGGGGCCTCCTGGGGGCTGGGCCACGCTGGGCCAGTGGTGACGGGAGTGCCACTGGCCACGATGCAGCATGAGCCCTTGTCCGATGACACCTACAGGAGGAGAGAAGAGAACGGCTGGTGATTCAGAGGCTTAAACTTTCCACTTCAATTTTAAATAAGTCTTTTTTTTTTTTTTTCCAAAGCGAGGGAGCTCTCTTCCCAATTCCAGTCTGATACAGAATCCGACAAAGCAGCATTGAGCTGTATGATGCCAGGGCCACGAGCTGGGGCTGAATTGGGCTCCCTACCCAACTGTGACCTTAACCTTAGGGATGATAGTAATAACTATCATGAGTGGCCTCACGAGGATTTGATAAATTAATCCCAGCAACGTGCTCAGGAAAGGGGCCTGGTCCCCAGGGCCAGCTTCACGGGTGTGTGGCCTGTGTGATCACAGGGGTCCATGCCCTTTGTTTACTGCTCTGTGGGGGTCATCTTGAAACCCGGGCCCCATGTGTCTATTTTGCACCAGCCCCTGCTCCCTGGGTGTTACACGGCCAACCCTGCCCACGGCACTGGCTCTGTTGTCCAGTAAATGCTTGGTGATTAGCTGTTGCTTTGAAAACTCAAGGTCATGATGTTTTGGGACCTTAGAGGGTAGAGGATTTGTAACCGAGGGGAGAGGTTTCCAGGTCTGGGCGTGTTTGGAGCTGGGGTTGGGGGGCACAGAGTCCCAGGGCGTGGGTGCGAGGGCAGGTCCCCTCCGCCCCCTCCAGCCGCCTGTACCGCTTGTGGGCCCAGGGTGACTCACCGTGGATGGGGCTTTGGTCAGGGCCATCTTCCCAGCCAGGTGGGCCTGCATTGCGCCCAGCTTCTCCTTCTCCAGCACCAGCTGTGAGGACAGGCGCAAAGTGAGCCCTCAACTTGGCCTTTCTCTGCCGCATCCTGGCTCAGGCTGTGATCCTCCATGGGAGTGCCCTACCCCCTCCCTTCCTTTATGCCAGCCCCCGTCCTGGGTGAGCTTGGCTCCTGGCACAGGGTAGACAGAAGGCTCGCCCATCATCCCCCAACCACCCCTCTCCTCCATCACCTGCTGCTCCAGAGACTGCACCACCTCCCTCTGGAGGAGACACTGTGCCCTGCCCTTCTCATCTAGGAGATGGTCCGCCTGGCAGTGCCTGGGTAGGGGGAAGAGTCCACGTGGGTGACCATGGTGGGCCTGGCCTCCCGGCTCACCACTCTGAGTGAGGAGGGCCAGACCTTTTGGGAGGTCTCTCCTCGGTGCCTCAGCCTCCTCCCCTCTCTACCTCAGTCTCCCTCTTACACCTGCTGTTCCTTTAACACATGCTACTTGGCATCTCTGGTGCCAGGCCTGAGCTCGCCACTGGAGCCTGGCCAGGGTGCTGGAGACGATGTTGGAAGGCTCGTGAGCTGAGAGGTAGGCGAGGGCAGGAGAGGCACTCCAGGTGGGGAGGGGTGGACAGCCTGTGCAAAGTCATGGTCGTGAAGAGGACAGGGTGTAGAATTGCCACTGATAGTTGGGTATGGTGGGAGAAGGGGTGTGTATGTATGTGTGTGTGTTGGGGGAGGCAGCAAGAGTCACTGTGAGAATCTGGAACTGTGGGGATCAATGAAATCAGGAGGGGTAGGTGAGCAGAAGCCTGGCTGCCTGGATTCAAATTCCAGCTCTGTGACTTAGGAACTGGGTGATCTCGATTAAGACACTTAACTTTTTTATGGCCTCAGTCTCTGTATCAGTAAAATGGAGGTAGGTAATAGTATAAACCTCTGTTATGATGCCCCATTACACAGATGAGGAAACCAGGGGCCAGAGAAGCTAAGTAACTTGCCCAAGGCCACACAGCCAGTGAGTGGGATTTGAATCTATGGTCTTAGCCTTTGCCTTTTGCCTCATCACTCTGTACTGAGATGAGGCCTGAGCTGAGACCTGTACCACAGGCCTTTTCCCACACACTGGGGACCCTCCTGGACTAGTATGAGCCTGGGTCACTCACTTGAAGAAATCCTCTGGCTCCTCAAAGACCTTCTCACATCCGGGCCACTTGCAGACACCATTTGCCAGCAGCGAGTAGGAGCCCTGGGGCATGGTCGAGAGGGCACTAGGAGGACAGAAGGTGTAAGGGGAGGCAACGGCAGAGCAAGGGTCCTTCCCAGCCTGGTCCACTGACCTGTCTTTCCTGGGTGTGCTGGGGCTTGGGAAGGTGCAGAGCAGCGCGGGCTCCCTGGACACCCACTCCAGGCTGGCCACGTTGATCCCTGTGGGTGGGGATGGGGTACCTTTGGGACCCTTAGGCTGGTCCCTCAGGCTTAGCCCACAGAGACTCTCATTTTGAATTTCCTCCTGAGCCTCTCAGGCCCTGATTCCCAGGGACTCTGTTGGCCCTAACACCCAAGGCTTCTTGGGGAGCAGCTCAGAGGCCGCCATTCGTGAGCGCTGACATTTCGACTGCAGAGACCTGCGGTTCTGTGATTCGTGCCTTTCTGCATCTTTAAGGTTCTGAGCCTGACATTTTTTGGAGGCTGGAGTTTCCCAGATGATAAGACCCGATGCCTCTGACCTCCTGAGGGCCGCCATTCAGCAGCCTACTCGGCTCACGTTCACGCCCTGGGGGGTGGGGGTGGGGCTTGGGGTTCTGTAGAGCTGCGGGTTGGGGGCTGTTACCAGGTGGCAGGCCAGGCCGGGCCTTGAGGGAGAAGACACTGGTGGCAGCAGTGGGTGGCGGCAAGCTGATCATAGCTGGGTTGTCCAGTGGGCGAACCTGCAGCACGGGGGTCCGAGTGTGGGTATCCACCGTTGAGAGCTGGGGGCACACAGGGGCTGTGGTTCAGCCTCCCCCCCCAGCCACGGCACCCAGTTGTCCCACCTGCTCCCGCCGCCCTGCCCATTCCCGGTCAGTACCTGGTGCATGAAGTGTGGCCTGTCCTGGAGGAGGGCTTGCAAGTGGGGCGAGGGGCCCAGCCGTGCCCCAGAGGGTGCCACCATGACTAGGGGCACTGTGGGCAGCTGAGGGGGGGAGAAGGCAGGCGTGTGAGATGCCATCCTTATCCTCACTTTTCTACATGTCTAGTTCATACACTCCTCGCCACAGCCCCACACGGTAGGTACTCTGACCATCCCCATTTTACGTATGTGGAAACTGAGGCTCAGGGAGAGCGAATGACTTTTTCAAGATCAAACAGCTAATAAGTGGCTGAGTTGGCCTCAACCCCGTCTCGTCACCTCACCTCTCTGGGCACCAGCCCTCTCCCTTGTCATGTGGGGATGCGGACACAGGGCCATGCCTGTGGGGCCATGATAGGATCTCCTCTCCTGAGACCGGGATTAGGAGGTCGGGGAGAGCCTTGAATCTCTGAGACCTGCTAACTGGGGACTTTCTTGGCCCCGTGACATCTGCATAAGTCACAGACTTGCCTGGGACCCAGAAAACCACTTCCTGTGCCCCAGCTGGGCCCCCCCGCCCAGTGCCACAGTAAAGGTCGGCACCTGTAGGCCCAGGTACCTCACCCTGCCTGCCCCATCCTGGGCCCTGGGCCTCACCTGCAGCTGCGATGGTGGCATGGGGTTCAAAGAGGAGGAGGAGGAGGCATGGGCCCCGCCTCGGAGGTCCCGGCCCTGGAAAGTTGCCCCTGGGCCCTTGGCCCCAAGCAGATCTGAAGCCTTGGATGTAGCCCTCCAGTTGGGTGAGGCTCCCGGGGATGGGCCAAGCACCAAGGAAGGGGCCGAGGGCTTGGCTGGCCTGGGGTTGGGCATTGAGTCCTTGTCCGAGGGCAGGCTGTGAGGACATAGGGGGAAGGAGTTACACGTGTCCCCAGTGGTGGTGTGAGCTGCTCGACCACTTGAACCCTGTAGACCACCCCTCGCCCCGTGCTTCGGCCAGAGCAGGCATCAGCTGGGTCCTGTCCTGGGCTCCACGGCTGGACCCCAGCTCCAATCACGCGTACGTGTGGCACACACCCATGCATAGGAACGCAGATGTGCGTGTGTCTCCGCACACGTCCCAGGTGCAGACGTGCCCGGCTCTGGCACTCAGCCATGCTGGCAGAGCGCTGGTGGTGATGTGTCTTCCACAAGGGAGGTGGGGGATTGGGGTTGTTTCTGGGGCCTCAGCCACAGGCAGGTGTCAGTTTTTCTTCTCCCAACTGCTTGGGGCTCGTCTCCAAGCCTTAGGCCCCTGGTCCTCCCTGCACTATACACAGGGCATACAACCTTTGCTGATCCTGCTGGGACTGGCTTCTGACTCTCTGGGTGGCATTATTTTATCCCAGTGACCTGGCATTTACAAGAGTGGAGGGGGGCATGGACTCAAGGTCCTTCTGGCTGCGGGGAGAGGGACAGACTCTCGGAAGGTGAAAGTAGGGGTACTGGTGAGGAGGCTCCTGTGACAGTCCAGGCAAGTGACAGTGGTGGCACAGACCAGGATGGTGTCGGTGGAGATGGTAAGTTGGTGGATTCTGAGTGTGCTTTGAAGGTGGAGTCAGGAGAATTTGCTGGCAGCTTGGATGTGGTGGGGGGTGGTGAGAGGGGGAGGGTCAAGGAGCCCTCTGGCCTGGTATTTGCCTGAGTAAATACATCTTCTGAGCTGGGGGGAGCAAGGTTGGGGGTGACGATCCAGGGGTGGATAGACACGACGAGTCTGGCATTAGACACATGAGTGGAAATACTGAGTGGGCAGTGGAGGACGGGAGTCTGGAGCTCAGGCAGGGGCGGGGTCTGATCATCTCTGGGCTCCTGCCTTGCACAAAGCTGACATGGCAGGTGCCGGAGAGCAGGGAGAGCTCAGGTCCCCTGAGCCAGGGCTGGTGGGAGCATCTTGACTCAAGCCCCACCAGCGTTTACCCCAACTCTGCTCTCCAAGCCTGCGCTCCTACTAGATGCTGAGCCTGGAATGTCTGCTCTTCCTCCGTATCCCCTATCCGAACCCCATCCAGAAAGTCCTCCATAATGGCGTTGGGCTCCTTTGCTGAGCCCCAGAACTGAACACTCTGTGACAGGCAGGGCTTCTGCTTCTCAGAATCCCAGTCTAAGAGGAAGCTGGAACTGGAAGGGACCGCCTAGTCCAACCACCACTTTACTGAAGGGAACACCCAGGTGTGTTCCACAGTCCCACGGCAACTTGAGAGCTCCCTGTCTTTCTCCAGAAAGTGTGTGTGCGTGCATGTGACTCCCCACCGCACAGCACTGGGTTGGGCACACAGCTGCCGATAGTAGCCCAAGCTGGCACAAGGGGGGTTTAGGGGAGCAGCTGCACCTTCCTTTCTTTGCTGTCAGCTCACGGGATTGTCAGGAGCTCTGGCATGGAGGCAGGTGGGGGTGAGAATCCAGGTAGTAAACTCTTAGTCTCTTGGTGCGGGGGGTGGGGGTGGGGGCATTACATTACATGTGAGAAGCAAGAGCCTGGATCTGTGGAGGCTCAGGACTCAGGGACCATGAAGAGGTGAGCAAATGAATGAAGGTGGAGATCAGGGAGAGGCTTCTAGAAGCCAACGCATGCCAAAGACTGCCAGCAGTCCTCCAAGAGCTAGAAGGGAGGCATGGACAGACCATCCCTAATAGCCTCAGAAGGAACCAGCCCCGCTGGCACCTTGATCTTGGACTTCTGGCCTCCAGAAGTGGGAGACCATAAATTTCTGTTGTTTAAGCACCCCCCAGCTTGTGGTAAATGGTTATAGAAGCCTGAGTAAACGAATACCAACTTTGGTCCATGAGTGGATGGTCTCCGCCACTCTTGCCTGGCCCAGACGGCTGGCCCGTGGTCACTTCTGACGGTGCTGGGACACTTGGCTGGGGCTTATAAGAAATCTCTTCCTCAAACATATTTGGAACGTCCAGCCTCAGGGAAGCACAGGGACATTCTCAGAAAGGGGACATAGATACGGTCTGTCTGGTGGTGGGGAACCTGGAGGGCCGGGCTGGGCAGCCAGCTTCCTGCATTGTCTGTTGGGGCGTCCCTTTCTGACTGTTTCTCAGAAGCTGCATGGAGGTTGTTTCTGGGACACAGAGAGCGTTTTCATATCGGGGTCTGCATCTGGGCCCTGTTGTCACATCCCCAGATTTTCCGCCATTGACGTCATGGCGGCCGGATGCGCAGGGCTTCATCGGCACCAAGGAGGAAGAGAAGGGGGTAGATCCCCCCCCACTGGTTTCGTTCCGAGAATTGGCTGGCCCATCCTGCAGCCGCCTTGGCCCAGGTGGGGGTGATGTGGGTGCTTGCGGATGTGGTGAGTGACGTCCATCTGGCCACCATGACAAATCCTGGGCCCTGTAGACTTGGGGCCATGGAGAGACCAAAGGTTTGATGCTTGGGGACTACCACGCAGACCCTACAGCTGTTGGGACCCTGGGGGTCTTCAAATGGTACTATGCCAGAACCTCCGAATCATAGAACGTCATTTCTTATGTTCAAAGGATCCCAGAGTCTCAAACCCCCTCTGTGAGGGTCCTTGGGTCCAACTTCACAGATGGTGAAGGCCAATGTCAATGGTGTCCAAACTCACTGAAACTCCCTGAAGGACAGGCAGCTCACTACCTCACAGGGTCTTTGGCCTTACCAGGCTTGGCATTGTAGGAAGCCTCTGCCTCTTCTGCCTCTTCTGACAGTTTCCCTCCCAAGTTCTGTGACAGCAGACTCCCCTGAGCCTGGGGTTGGGCTCGGCCATTAACTAGCTGTAACTCTCCTCGGGCTTGCATGTAAACTGGGACAGTAATTGTACCCCTTGTCCAAAGTTAATGCACATGAAATGCTTAACAAAATATCAGTGATGGTAAATGAACACGTGCAGGGCCTCAGTCTCCCTGTTCATTCTGGGACCATGTTCCTGTACTCATAGCCATTCCACAGGAGATGGGGAGGAAAGGAGGGGGAGCTAGAGGCCAGCATGCCTTTGGCTAGGGCCTCACGGTGGGGGACAGGAAGAGCCTTGGCCAGTAGGGAGCCCACTGCCAGGCTCTCTGGAGGGGTGCCGGGGTGGAAGTTCCCGGGGACCCGTGCCCACTCTGGGGATATGGTTGAGCTCTATCCACAGCCAGACCCACAGACATACTGGCTGACTTACATCCTTCCAGTATCACTACCCTCTGGCCACAAGGCCTTCTGAGTCATGGGACCCTGGGACCCCACCCAGACTAGCTCTTAGGAGGTTGGGCTCCATACTGGCCCATGTGGCCACAGAGCCTCCTGCCTGAGTAAGGGTCCAAGTTGTGAGAAGGGAGAAGGGGGAATGGCAGCAGCCAGGGGGCAGCTCAGCTTCCCTTCCACCCCTCATGGGTGCTGAGAAGTAAACTGAGGCCCAGAGTGCAGGGGAGAGACAGAAGCAGGGTCCTGCCAAGAGTCCCATGGTCTGAGCTTGGGTCTTAACTCCACCATTCCATCCCTGTGAGGCCTTGGGAGAGGCCCTCTTGCCCATCTCCAGGCCTCAGTTTGCTCCTGCGTACACTGGGCAGAGAGAGGCATGGAGGAGATAAGGGCCAGGCCCCTTCCACTTTGTGTCTGGGGGACCTGCTACATGTCTGCAGGGCATCGAGTCAACAACAGCCCCTCCAGCCAGGGGACTGGCTGAGAGACAGGGATACACAAAGAGACAGAGACAGAGAGAGACAGACAGACATAGGGGAACACAAAAACCCAGAGAACAAGAGATACAGAGAGATGGAAGAAACATGAGGTGGGACAGAGATACACAGAGAGTGAGAGATGCTGAGGGAGGGAGAGAGAGAAAGAGAGAGAGAGAGAGAGAGAGAGAGAGAGAGAGAGAAAGGAGGGAAGAGGAACTCAAAGGAACAAAAGTCCTAGAAGTATACACAAGGAGGGAGACAGAGAATGAGAGAAACAAAAAGAATAAGAGAACAGCACAGGGAGATGGGAAGAGGATGAGGTAGGAAGAGGGAGAGGGGGAGAGAGAGGGAGAGATGTCCCAAATAGAGATAGAGACAGAGACAGAGAAAGAGGGAAACGGTGTGGGGGGGGGTAGAGATGAATGCCCCAAATAATAGTAGCTGTTGGTCTCTGGCTACAGGAACTGAGGCTGCATCAGATAGGGGATATACTGGACTGCGAAGTGGCAGTCAGCAAAGTGCCATGGCTCAGACACTGGGGAAAGGAACAAAACAGAAATCTCAATCACCGACGACTGTCTAGAGGCAATCGAGTTTGTGAGAAATGTGTCATTTCAACCTGGGAGACAGCGGAGGCTACACTATTTGACAAATGCTTCTGGGAATATTAAGGGAAAGATAAAGTTAGTTAATGAATAATCAGTCCATTTTCCCCACCAATTCCTCTCTGCCCAGTTTGAAATGTCGCCAGTCAACATATACCCTGAAACACATCCCAGATTTATTAAAGAGATAAGAAAGAATATATTCTTGGGTTTCTTGCACGCCAGCCCTATGCCAAGCACTTACGTGGTTAATACATTTAATCCTCACAACAACTCTTTGAGGTAGGCGCTACTACAATCATCACAGTACATACGAGGAAATGAAGGTACAGACAAGTTAAATGCCTGGCTAAAAATCATACAGATGGCTTGGGGTGAGGTTGGGTTTGTCCCAGACAGTCTGGCTCCAGTACCCACACTCTTAACCTCCACAGCAAATGGAAAAAATGAAGCCATAAAAGAGACTAGAAGCCAACACAGGTGAACATTTATCTCATTTTCAAGTGGGAAAGGACTTTCTAAGCACAAAACCAGAGACAGTAACCACAGAAGGAAAGAGTAACCCATTTGTCTATATAAAAACATCATAGCATCACAAAACTCCATAAACAAATAGAAAAAGTGAGAGATGAATTGGGGGGGAAATATCTGCTATACATGTATGCCTATTGGAAGGTTAATATCCTTTCTAAATAAAAAGCTGTGACAAATCAATAAGAAAAAAAATGATGAGCACTCCAATGGGACTAAGGATATGACCAGACAACTTAAGAAAAAGTACAAATGCTCAATAAATAGTGTAAATAATCAAAGAAAGCAAATGTCAACAATGTGATAATATTTTTTCTTACCTGGTATGCTGAAAAAGGATTTAAAAAATGATAATACCCACACAGGGCTGGCTTGAGTACAAGAAGCATATAACAGGACAACGTTTTGGAAGAATGATTTGCAGAGAGGGTCAGACAACCTTAAAAATGCACGTGCCTCTTGTCTCAGCAACTCCATTTTCAGGAATCCAGGGAACTAATCAGGGATGATTATGGGGGAAAGAACTAGAAACAACCTGAATGTCCAGGAATTGGCACTTGGTCGAACCAATCGTGGTTCACACCAGTGTGAGGACAGTCTTGACAGCCACGAAAGATCATATGTTGAAACAATTTTTAGTGATCTACAAAACGCTCCTATTAATTGAATAAAGCAGTAGCAAAACCAATAGAGAGTGGTTTTAATTTGGTTAAAAAAAAATACTAACAGCTAACAGTGAGCACTGCTAAGCCTGCAGAGATGAGCTTGCCCCAGCCCTGAACAGCCTGCTTGGTTCCTGGACATGGACTCTGGACACACACACACACACACACACACACACACACACACTCACACACACAAGGTCCCAGGGTAGGACCACACAGCTAAACCATGACCAACAGTGGCATAAAGTACCCCCCAGGAGGTCCCCTCGTGCCATGCAAGCCCAAGTTCAATTAAGCGCTCAGCCTGAACCAACAGCTCACTATCCTCCGTCGATCGGGGCAAACAGAACTGATGCTCACTCTGGTAAAATGGAAATGTCCTCATCGATGTTGGTCAATCCACTATTATTAGGCACCAACGGTACAAAGCTCTGTGCTGGATCATGGAGGGGGGAAGGCCGGTGGGGGAAGGCTAGACAAGAGAGCAGGAGAGACAGTGGGAGAAAGAGGAAAGAAGATAGTGGGAGTGTGGTGAAGATGGAGGAGACAGAGGCAGGGAAGCTGGGCAGAGCCAGAGAAAGGGTGATGGAGAGTCTGAGTGCCAGGGAAACAGACCGGGAGACAGAGCAACACGGAAAGAGGGAGACAGGATGAGTAGACAGAGAGGGATGGGAGCTATCAGGAGACAAGAGACGAAGAGGAGGGAGGGGTGTAGTTGAAATTTCCAGTTACACCTGGACAGTTTCAAGTTGTTCAAAGCTCTGAAATTCACAAAGACTGGCAGTTGGCCTATTTAAAAAAAAAAATCCTGCCGATCTACATAGCAATTAATTTATTTATCATTGCCTCTGCCCACGCATTGATCAAGCACTTTCCTAATCAGTCTGCCGGCATTTATTATTACTATTATAATTGTAAAAAAAAAAATCTCTTACCTGACTGGAACCAAAGGAGCTGTCTTGCCAGTACCGGAGGTCCCCTGACCCCCGCCCGGTGCCTGCCTCACTACCATCTCCTCCACTGGACCCGCATCTGATGAGGGAGAGCAGGGACACTCACCTTGGTGAAGTGGACTGACAGAAAAGGATCAGCCTGGCTTGTGGGAAACTGTCACATATCAAAAACAACTTTGCTTTTATACCGAGAAGAAAAACCACGGTGTGGAAGCCACAGACCTCTCTCTCTCTCTTCTAATAATCCAATTTTTTTTTTCGATGAGTGTGTGTGTGCTGATCATCACGGGGTGGGGGGGTTCTCATAGTTTTTTCTGTCTCTTGCTCTCTCTCTCTCTCTCGCTCGCTCTGTTTCTCTTTTTCTTGATTATGAGACTTAAACGGAAATTTTGAAATTTTGGGTTTTTTCTTTGCCCTTTACGAGTCATCTGAAAATATGATTTCTTCCCCTCACCACAGAGGTGAGAGGTATCAATAAGATAACAGGGCTCATGAGAAACCACAGTTTTTTACACAAAAGTGTGTAGAGCTAGAAAAAAAAAGGGGGGAAACTCAAATAAATCACGGAGGTGTCCCAAGCAGGCAGAGACACCACTCTGTGAATGTGATGGGACAAGAAACACCAGGGAAAGAAACTGAATAGGGCTGGGTTTCCAGAGACTTTGCCCTGCTCCATGCCTCAGTTTCCCCTTAAGCAGAATTGATATGGTCATCACTGTTCTTACTGCCCAGGGAGGGGGAGATCTGCAACGCGTCTCCCTACAGAAGGGGACATGGAAGTTATTTCACAGAGGAAAAGGCAGGGAGTCCCTCTCTATCTGCCACAATTTACAGAATCTAACAGTCTGAGAATCACTAGCTCCCAGAATCCACTTAGCATCACTGGGTGAGGAGAGGGAGAAAAGTCTCGTCTTATTACGCCGTAAGGTCTGAGAGCTCTAACCTGGAGGGTACCCTACAGGGAAGGTCCCAATGAGGCCCCCAGTGTTAATGCATCTGTCCTCATGAAGCCCAGAGGCACCTTAGGAACCCGACCCTCTCCTACTCAGGGACACCACGATCTCAGTCTTTGCAATCCTCTACTTTGAAAAATCCCAGTTTCCGGGGTTTTTGGATGCCAAGTATCCACCATCCTCTCTGTAGCTGACATTTATCTGTAGTTTTCCCCAGGCCAGACACCATGCTGGATAAGTCTCCCAAACGATCACGTTCAATCCTCACCACAGCCCTTCTCGGTCCATCTTGTCATCATGGCCGTTACACAGATGGGCCAAACAGAGGCGCGAAGCAGTCGACGGACTTGCCCAAGATGACAGAGCTGGCAAGTGGGGACTCTGCCTTCTTTGGTGCTGGACGGGCTTAAAAACACCCAGGTTTCCTTGGGCCCAACAGTCTTGGGTCTTAAATTCGAGGCTGCAGTGACAGGGAAATTCTGAGATTTGGAGATTCCTCAGGGGAGGGGGGGCTTGAAGCTTGTGAGGTTTTACGGTTGTCCAAGAGTTGGCAGCTGCATTTCCTTACTTGAGCAGTAACCCCCTTGAGCAGAAGCCCCAGGCCCCAGGGACTTCTCCCGATAAGTCACGGCTGTGGCTCCCAGTCCCCGGCTCCTCAGCACCCTGCGTGGCCCGGGGTTCTGCCATCCAACATCTACTCCAAGCCCTCTGCAAGACTGACTTCAGGCCTGGGGAAGAGAAATTGGAAACCACTCTTTATACACATGGTACAAACCTAGTGGCCAAGACCCACCCCTTTGCCCCTTCACGTTCCCCCCCCCACCCCCGCCGCCCCATTTCCCAAGCCCTAAAAAAAATCCTTAACTATCCTTAACTCTGACTCACCTTTCTGGAAAAGCCCAGAGGGGGCCTGATGGTCTGGCTTTGTGAAGATAAGAAAAAAAAGTGAATATATATATATATATATATATATATATATATATATATAAACACAAACAAGCCAAAAAAAAAAAAAAAAAAAAAAAAACCCAACCCTCCCTACCATTAGTTCAAAACAAAACTTTCACTGGTTGAGGTTTCTAGGTTGGTGGGACACGTCTGAGACCCAGAGATGGCCCGTGTGTGCTGGGCAGCCAGAGGAGGCACCAAAGTGGGATGAGGTCCTCAGGCTGGAGGCTTGCACAGGCTTAACAGGTGTGGTATGTGGTTGGGAGCAAGAGGGTGTGCGGCGCTTTTTGGTCAGGAAAGCATTTTGGGGAGCTGCCTTTAGGGATGTTTCCAGGCCCAATGACCCCTTGCTCTGCCTGGACTTGGGTCTGAACGTTACTTATACTTCCTGTGTAACCATAAACTAGGCCAGTTCTCGAGGTGGAGGCCTCATTTCTTGCTCCAGGACCTGTCCCCTCTTGAGAGAGGGGACTGGTTTTCTTTTATAAGGTCAGAGGTATACCCTCCCTAGACCATCTCTCCCTTACTGTCATCGGCACCAGAAGAGGAGTGGCCAGAGAAGTAGAGGGATGACTGAGTTAGGCTGGTGCCCCAGGGGCCCAGGGACCAGGAGGCCACTTGAGTGGGGCTCGGGTGAGGTGATGCTGCTGCTGCTGCTGAGAGCTGGGACCCTTGCAGAGTAAGAGCTGGGGGGTCAGGTGGACAGAGAAGGGCAGAGGTCACCACCTCCTCTCCGTACTGGACTATATCCTCTTGTGTGGAAGGCTTCTGGGGGAGAGTACACAGGAGTACACAGACAGGTCCATGAAAGTCCCCAGAGAATGGGGGCAGGGGGCTTGGGCAGACTCGGGGGATGGAGCCACGGAGATACCTGAGTGGTTCCAGAGGGAACAGCCAGCTCAAAGGCCCTGAGTGGGTGTGTGTGATTTGCTCGAGGTCTACGAAGGTGGTCGGTGTGGTTACAGTGGCGTGAGCAAAAGGAAGAGGGGGAGAAGGTGAGGTCAGAAAGGAGTTATGGGGGTTAGACCCTGTAGGACCTTGTAGCCCATTGTAAGGACTTTGGCTTTTGCTCTGAGTGAGGAGGAGGCCACAGGAGGGTTGTGAGTAAGGAGGCGACATGAACTGCCTTAGGATTTAACAGGATCCCTCTGACTGCTGAGTATAGAACAGACTATAGGAGTGAAGATGGAAGCAGGGGCATCAGACACAAGGAAGCTACTGCAGTAATCCAGTGACTGATGAAGGCATTGGCAGTGGAGTGGGGAGGAGAGGCTGGATTCATGAAACATTTTGAATGGAGAGCACACAGAATTTGCTGAAGGATGAGAGTCTTGGGGCCAGACCAGGACACAGATAATGCCCTAACTAGAAGTAAGAAAAAAAACCCTCCAAGTCTATCTTGTTTAAGCCCTACTCTTTTGTGTTTTTTTTCCCTCTGTTGCTTGCAAGTGAACATATTCCTTCCTGATCCGTGACCCCACCCTGGACACTGAGACCTGAGAAGGGGGAGGTTACGGGGTGGGGGGGACCTCCTCTCTCCTCAGGATGTCGCATGTCAGCACCTTGCATACAGTTGGTGTTCAGAAAACCCTCCCAGGAGGGAGGGGGAATTTATGAAGGGTCATACTCAGTGGACCAAAGCTACATTTCAGTTCCCACAGGAGGCAGGACCTCAAAGGAGAGTGAATGAGGAAGCCAGAGCAGCGCCTGTGGCAGAGGAAACAGCAGGAGCAGAGATGGGGGACAGAAAGAGGGAAGTGGGGCCACTTTGGGATGTGGAGTGCCAGTGGGGCAAGAAAGGTAGGACTTTGGTTTGTGATTACATTAGACATCTGCCAATGTGTTCAGCCAACTCCTGGTGGCATACAGTCAGGCTCAGTGTTTTGCTGAGCTGAAGTCAGAAAAAGCTCATTTTCCAGAAGAGGTCAATTTTTCATTTGGCCATTCTTCAACAATGGTGACAAGTCCCGGAGAATGCTGAGGGTGACAACCAAGAATATTCTTGGCTAGTGGCATTGCTCAAGCAAAGGATCCGAGGTGGGCAGGGAAGACCCAGTAACTGTGACAGGAGAGTCCGTTTTGCTTTCTTCGACCTCACACTAGGGTGCAGTCTAGGTCTTCAGGGACTCTAGGCATTCACAGCTCTGGGGCAATGAGAAGACACGAAGGGCTAAGGAGATGGTGAGTCCAACCACAAGAGGCATACTCTTCCCAATAACTGCGTGCATTCTATGGATCTCTGGCCCAACCACCGCACAGCCCAGATCCCCTCCTTTGGCCTCTTTATTGGCTGTTCATACTTCACACAACCTCCAACACCCCGGTTGGCTTTGCTCTCGGCGGATCCTCCTCCGTGTCCTTCCAGTCCGCTAGACTTTGCAGCCTTTGCATATTGGTTCATTTCGTGCGAGCACTGCCCTTTGAGGTCTCAACTGCCTTCATTCTGGGTCCCTCATTGGCTATCAACCATCTCTCCTCCTGGCTCCAGCCTTCACCGTCCACTCCCATTGGCCCTGCCCCTCCATTCCCGTCTCTGAGGCTGTTCTTACACCGCCCCTTGGGTCTCTTTCTAGTCTTCGTATTCGTTAGTTCAGCCCTAGCACCGCCTCTTGAAGGCAGAGTGCAAGCTCACACGACTCCCCCACTGGCCCGCTGTAGCCATTATCTTTTCGTCATCTCCTCTACGCCACCGGCGCGTGGCTCTCCATTGGCTATTCGCGGCCTCTGTCTTCGCGTCCCGGCGCCTACGCAACCAAGGGATCTCCTGGTTTTCTGGCCGCTCCGTTCGCTCCCCGCTGCCCCCATCGCCTGCAGTCGTTCCATTTTCCCCGCCGCACACATGCCGTTCCCGCTCACACTCCCCCACTAGCAGTCCTACGGCTCCTTCCATCCCGGACCCCGCACCACCCCCCATTTAGGCCTCCCCATTGATTCCCTGATCATCCCGCCTCCTGCACCGCCCACTCTCGGGCATCCCCATTGGCTGCGTGCTTCTCCTGCACTCGCTTCCCCGCTACGTCATCCAGGCGCGGCTCCCTATTGGCTTTCTGCTCTACCTGTCTTCCTCTCACCGCCTACACCCCCCGTGAGCCGTAACCCCCCCGCGCTGGCCTTCCCATTGGCTGCCCGCCCCTTCAGGCCCTGCCCCCGCCGGTCCCGCCACCGGTGCCGTCGGTGCCGCCGCCGCCGCCGATATGGCGCGCCCGGCCCCTGTGGAGCCCCCGCTGCGGCATCCCGCGCCCCCCCTCGCCGGCCGCGGGCGAGCCCCGCACTTCTGTTGAGGCGGCGGTGGCCCCGCGGAGAGTGCTGTTCGCCGACGAGGCCCTGGGGCTGCCGCTGGCGCAGCTGCGCCGCTACCGGCCGTGGGGCGGGCCCGGGGCGGGCAAGATGGCGGCGGCGGCCGGGCAAGATGGCGACGGCGGCGGGGCTGACGAGGACGACGATGGCGAGGATGGGGATGAAGGGGAGGAGGAAGAGGAGGCTTGCCCTGCGCCCTCGCCGCTGTGCCCCGTCCCCGCTGGCGGGGGGTTTTACCTGGTGCCCACATTTTCGCTGCCGCCCGCGCCGGGCCGTCTGGAGCGCTTGGGGCGCGTCATGGTGGAGCTGGAGGCGCTGCTGCCGCCTCCCGGAGCGGTCCCCGGGGGTGCCGGGGTGTGGGTGCCTGGGGGGCGCCCGCCGGTGCTGCGCGGGTTGGTACGCGTGCTGAACCGCTCCTTCGAGAAAGCGGTGCACGTGCGGGCCTCACACGACGGCTGGGCTTCCTTCTGCGACCACCCAGCGCGCTACGTCCCGCGCAGCCCGCCGGGGGCAGGAGCGGGAGGACCAGGAGCAGGAGATCCCATCCTGGATCCCGGCCTGGGCCTGGGCTTGGGCCTTGGCCAGGCGTCCGCCTCCTCGCCCGACGACGGCGGCCGCACTGACCGCTTTGCCTTCCAGCTGCCCTTTGCTGAGGGCGCGGGCGATGGGGCGCGCCTGGACTTCGTGGTGCGCTATGAGACCCCCGAGGGCACTTTCTGGGCCAACAACCAAGGCCGCAACTACACAGTCCTGCTCCGGATCGCACCCGCTCCCACACCCACTGATGCTGAAGGGCTGCCCCAGCAGCAGCAGCTGCAGCAGCTGGAGCCACAGCCCGAGTGCCAGGGTCCCGTGGAGGCTGAGGCCAGGCAGCTGAAGAGCTGCATGAAGCCGGTGAGGCGCAGGTAATGTCTGCCAGCGCCACCTCCGCCAACGCAGGGCTGTGTCTAGGATGGAGGACAAGCATCCCGACCCTGGAACCCCCTCAGGCCTGCTCTCCAGGACAGGGAGGAGGGCGCATTCAGTCAGTTAGAGTAACGGAGGCCAAACATGTGCTAGGCTCTGTTTTAATTACTGGGGTTTCATTCATTTATTGAATTCCCCGGTAAAACCCTGAAGGAGACAGACATCTTCCCTACCCTCAAGGATCATGTAGGCTCCTCTGGGAGATGGTTTGAAAGAAAAAAAAACAAGCAGATAAGATACAGAGGGATAAGATTAGTTGCTGAGAGTAAAGTGAAATAGGGTAAGGCGATAGTTTGGAGGGAATAGATGCTTTAGAATGTTCAGGGAAGGCCTTTAAAGAGGTGAGTCCTGGATGATCAGAAGAGTCATGTGCAGGTATGGGGGTGGGGTGGGGAGAGTTTGTAGAAAAGGGAATAAGGAGGACTTTTCTGAGGAGGTGCCATTTAAACTGAGTCCTGAATGATAGAGGAGGAGTGGTTATGCACAGGTATGGGAGCAGAGGGAGCTGAGGACAGAGGTCCTAAGGTGAGAATGAGCTTGGTGTGAATGATGAGCTGTGTGCTGCAGTGGACAGAACTTCAGTGATCTAGTAGGGTAGACCAAGGGCTTTACCAGTGGGGGACAGGGGATCTGATCCCCATTTGACAGAACAGCAAACTGGGATTCCAGAGGGAGAAACTGGTTGAGGAAGTGATGGCGCCTGGCTTTTCCAATTCCACCATGGCTGACCTTGAAGCCTGTGCATCTCTTTACTGTTATGTTCTAGTCCAGTGCGAGGTCTCCTGCAGGATTGAGGGACTGAGTCTCTGCTCTCACAGGGAAGCAGTGGCTCTGGCAGAGGCAGAACCAGATGGGCCTGGACTTGAAGCTCTTGTCCTTTGTTTTTGCCTGTGACCATTCGGAGCCTGGGAGAAGGAGCCACTTAACCCCAGGAGGCATCATAGGAGACTAGATTTTCTCAGTCAAGCTAGGAGCTCTTTGAAGGTAGCAGCTAGGCCTGATTCTTTTGGGGGACGGGGTCACGTAAGTCTAGTCTGGGAGAAGTAGAGTCTTTGTGCGTGTGTGGGAAATGCACACATTTCCCTGCCTCTGGGAAGGACTGGAAATGGGAATGGGAAAATGCGTTCTGGACCTTGTATATGCTTGATCAGAAGCCTCAGGCTGCAGCAAGATGTTTGTGGTCCTGGCAAGGCCTTAGGCTGTGAGTGAGTGATTCAGAAAGGTCTAGCTTAGGGCTGGTGGGCAGGCGTGCCCAGGTGTGTGAGCAGGCAGGCAAGTACCCACTTACGGACCTGTGAGCCCACAGTAACCTGAGACTTAGTGTAAGGGGGCCAGGCAGCATGCCTTCCCTTACAGTGTTAAGAGAATGGATTCTGACATCAGAGTGCCTTGGTTCAAATTGCAGCCTTGCTGTCTGTTGGCTTTGTGACCTTGGCTAACTCATTTAACCGCACCATGCCTCAGTACCCTCACCTGTAAAACAGATAATTACACCTACTTCAGAGGAGACGAGTAAAAGCACTCAGAACCAAATCTGGCTCATAGCAGTGCCAGAAAGTGTTAGCTAGTGTTTATGTTTAGGGAATCACACATACAGTTCCGTGGATACCCCTCCCAAACTCGGCTCTGCCCATCACCTACTGTGTGGCCTTGCCTCAGTTTCTTCATCTGTAAGCCTCAGTCTTCTCATCTGCTAAAGGGGAATGACAGTCACTTTGGATTGAACACAGCAAACATGGGCAAGGCACTGAAGGATGGTGGTAGCCGTGGAAGAGAGTAGTGGTCAGCATTTACTGAGCTGTATGCTGAGAGCTTCAAGTCTGTTCTCTCCTGAGTCCTGCTGTGTGTGCTCTGTGGTACAGGCGCTCTGGTTATGTGCATTTGATAAAGGGGGATACTGAGGTAGCTCAGGGAGTGACAATGCCAGGGAGGACATGCTGGGGACTTTTTTTTTTTTTTTAACTACTCTGGAAGTTCTGACAGGGTTCGGGAAGAATTCTGCATCTCATTTCTGGTGTTCCCAGCGGGGTTTGCTTTCCTTTTCTCTCTCTCTTTCTCTCTTTCTCGCTCTTTTCTGTCTCTTTGCTTTTTGGAGGTATCCCTTTACACAGTGTAGTGATCTTAAGTATAGGGCTTAGTGGATTTTTACATACATATGCTCGCGTAGCCATCACCCAGATCAAGGTTTGGAGTGGTCCTGGTTCCCAGAAGCGCCTTCATTTCTGTCACTTTTCCCAAGTTGTCTTCCCAGGTGGCTGCATGGGAGCCCTGTCTGTAAGATGTGACAGTTTGGGTAGCCAGAGTTTGGTCATTTTAGAGTGTTAAAGGAAGAGAACCAGAGAAATCAAAAGCTCGCAGGGCCAAGGTGGGTGGAGAGGGTGTTTTTCTTTTAAAATACATGGGTGGTTTTAAGGAGAAATTGAAGCAGCTCGTTCAGACAATTGTTTTGGTATCTGGCCCCGGGTCTGTGGTTCCTAACATGACTTGTGATATTATTTTAAGTGGGCAGATGGCTTTTTGATAGCTTCTTTATCTTTTGATCTCAGCTCTTGCAAAGGGGAGGTTGGTGCTCATTGCAAGATCAGCGGTAAGATTTTCTTTGTAGGTCGGTGGCTTTCTTGGCGAGTACATTTCAACTTATTATTGTTTTAAAAGCTGTGTGCTGCCCGGGACTTGGAGCACTGTTGAAGAACAGCTGCCCCTGCGACCCAGCCCTCTTGGGAACCGGTAGCTGGTCGCAGGGGATAGGCTGAACGTGTGGGAGCCCTGTGGTAGAGGGCCTTGTTCAGAAGTGCTGGCCGCAGCCGCCGCCCCCCCCACCCCCGCCCCAACTGGGCATGGCCACGTCAGGTGGGGGCACAGGGGAAGTCTATGGGACCAGGCTTTTGATAACACTTAGGCTTCGAGATGATCCATCAACAAGCATTTGTTGAGGGCCTACTATGTGCTGGGCACGGTGCTAGGTTCAAACAGGGAAAAAGACGCAGACTGGCACTAAGCTGTCGAGGGTTTTGTGGTGGAACTGGGTGGGAGAGGCAGGGATGGAGGGCTTGGTGTTTGACGCTTGGCAGAGACCCTACTCTGTGCTGGGCGTTTTGCTGAGGGTTCGCGTGCAAAGGCCTCATCTAATCCTTTCAGTATTCGCCTTGAGAGAGACTGTTTTTATCCCTCTTTCCTGGATGAGCAAACTGAGGCTCCCAGAGTCCAGAGCCCTAGGGCTGGTGTTGGGAGGAACCCTCCTGGTCTGCCTTGGCTTAACACCCTTAGGAGGTGTCCTGTTCCTCTTAGAAAGACCAAGAAAGCCTCAGCATGGCCTTCCAGCATCCCCCTGCCCTGTCCCCCAGTCTGTCCTCCACAGCTGCTAGTCTCACATCCCACCATCCTCTGCCTTCTGAGCTCCTGTCACTGTGGTCTTAACAAGGTGCCTTGCCCCTTACTGCCTCAGGGCCTTTGCCCATGCTGTTTTCCATCACCAGGAATGTTGATCCTGTACTCCTTGCGGTCTCTTCGTTTTGATCCCTCAGTTCTAAGAGTTCTTCCCCTGGAAAGCTTGTCCGTCCCAACATTCTGATGTTTTCTTAGCATGGCCCTGATGTTTTTATAGTGTGGATCAGCCGAGCCCTGCCTGAAAATGTCATGTAGCAGAACAGGTGTGTGTTGCCACAACTTTAAGATCATTTCCCACCCCGCCTGGCAGTCCTATTCTATTTTTCTGATCCACTCTTGTCTCCCCCTTGCTGTGACTCTTTTCAAATGTTCTTTACCTTCAGACTTTACTTCCTGCTTCAAAAAACAAAAAGAACCTGAAAGGATGGAACTCCCCATAGCTCACAGCCCCCCAGCGTGCAAACTAAGTTCCCTCCTTTGTGTTACAGGGGAGGAGGGGCCCCTTTTACTGCCTCAGGCCAGTCTCCCCATTTGTGCTCTGCAAGTTCCATTTTCTGCCACCTGCTCCAGAACTTGACACTTTCTCTCCTGGCAGCTTTGTTGGCCCCCCTCGCTGATCCTCTCTTTTGGCCTTTATACATGTTAGCATCTCTACTGTCTGAAAAACCTGTCCTTTGACCTCCCCTCTGTCCCTGCTGCTCCCGACCAGCGCCTAACCACCCCTTCCTCTTCAGTGCTGACCCCTCTCTGAAGAGTTGCTGACACTCTCCTTCTCCATTTGCTTCAGCCCCCCACATCTACCAGATTCCAGAGGTGGTTTTGGTTTTCTTCTTGAAGTTGCTGAGCATTCCTACTTAACACACGGTCTCTCCCTTTCCTTGGGACCACGCTCTGCTGCTTTTCCTCTTAACCCCCTGGCCCTTCTCCTTGCTCTTGCCTTCAGCTCACATAGCCAGGCTCGGTGTCTCTCACTTGGCTGGTGTCCCAAAGATGGGTCCCCTGTTCTAGATCAAATTCATTACCTCCCCAGCAGTGTTCCTGAGCGGCCTCTCCCTGACCCCTCCCTTGCTTATCTTCCTTCTAAGCATCCTAAGCCCATCCTGACCCTAGAGTCTGGGCCAGGGCCCTTTGTTCCAGGGCATTCTTCCTTTCCTGAAGGCACGGACCTCAGTTTGTAGTTAGACCTTCATTAGGGGATTATTGGATGACCCTCTCTGCCCTCTTAGACTGTAAGCTCCGTGAGGGGTAGGGACATGGTCTGCTTTTTGTTCACCTCTGTATTTCTGCAGGGCCTGCCACGGTGCCTGGCACTTAACAGGTGCTCAATAAATGTTTGTTGAAAGAATGAGTGTGAGTTATTTTTTTAAATGTCTTCCTCCACACGAAATTGTCAGCTTGCTAGTTGGGTGTGCTCCCCCTTGTGTCTCCAGGGTCTGTCACTGGGCTGATGCACGGTAAGGCCTCAGTGATTTTTAGGTCACCTGTTGGTGAATGGTTGGGGACACAACTTGCTCTCTGAGTCGGCAGCCTTAGGCGAAACCAGAACAAACAAAGTTGAAACAGGACAGGCCAAGGGCCGTCTTAGTTGTCCAGAAAGTCAGGATTGAGTGAGAAAGCGATCCTTTTGTACTCCACCGACAATTGGTAGGGCATCATGGTTAAGGATGTGGACTGAGGCCACACACTATGGAAGTGGTGGAGCTGGGCTCTGGGCCAGGGTGGTCCTCCGCTAGTTCCACAGTTCCTAAAGGCTATACCAGGCTGGGTGGTGCGTCTGACCAGTGGGGCATTGTCAGGCAAGTTGCTGTCCTTTTCGGAGCCTCAATTTCCCTCAGTGGGAATTTGGAGGGGATCGCTGTTTGTTAGCACTTTATAGGCGATGTTCCACTATTTTCTCAGTCTACCCCACAGCCCTCTGGGGTGGCCATTACCATTATACCTTCCGTACGGAGGAGGAAAGTGAGGCATCGAGAGGTTAAGTGACTTGCTCCAGGTCACACAGCTGGTAGGTGGCAGAGCTGAGATTATTCAAAGTTACCTGTTCTAACCCTTCATTGAACTGTGAAATCAGTTTCCTGGATCCCAACCAATATTAAAGAAAAAGAAGTAGCATAGGAAATAGTGTGCGTCACAACACGTAGTAAAGGTAAGTGCTGTTTCACTCAAAGAACAACTTTTTCAGATTTCTATAACTTTGTATATTTACACATGTATGGGGGGTGCTGGCTTATGATGTCAAATGTATTTCTTACTGGGGGTCACTGCCAAATGAATGAGGTCCCTGCCATGAAAGAAGTTCGTGGCCACGATAAACTGCTCTCTTCCCTCCCAGCCCGCCGGAGGGGCTATGAGTCCCAGAGTTGACACTGACACAGACCGTAGCTGGGGAAGGCAGAGCAGTGCCCCCCCAGAATGTGGTGGCTTTCACAGCTGCTTCAAACCCTGTTCTTGTCAGAAAGCAGATGGCTGGGTGGGTAACCAGAATCCTGGGATTCCAAGTATCGTGGGGCAGGTTTCTGAAGCCACCTGACCTCCTGGGGAGTCAGCATTATCTTCGAGTTGACTGCATGGGAGCTGGGGTCTGCTGAGTTTCCCTTTGGGTTTCAGCACATGACCCACTTTGGGCTTGCCAAGTTCTTTGAAAACAGCGTCGGGGGTACTCCCAGAGGACTCGGGGTGGCGGCTGCAGTGCTGTGACTGCTCTGAGAGTCTGCTTTGTTCTCGCCCATTGGGGGTTGTCAGCCCTCCCCCGCTTGCACTCTGGTGATTAACTATTTTGTTCTGTCTCGGCTGGCCCAGGCTGGGGCTGACGGCACCTCTTTATGAAATCTCACCTTCCGGTCTCCCCGCATGTCGTCTGAGGTCAGCGGTCGTTGAATTTCCTGATGGCAGGAGGAATTTCACACCTAGGAGACTGGTGTGGTCCCTTTTAGGCTGCACTGTCTTAACTAGTTTTTGAGAACACCCCAAGGATGCATCCTGGGTGTGGGCCCAGGTTCCCGGGCCTGCCCCTGGCCCACTACTGCGTTTTGCCCTGGAGGAGATAGCACGTGGCATTTGTGGGGCTGGTGCCAAAAGAGCAGGTTTCCTTCTCGAAAATTAGCAAGCACCCTGGAGGTACAGTTTTGTTCTTAATCTCCTCCCTCCCAGTTTTTCTAAGAACCCCTCTTCTCTGTTACTGATCAGTGAGTCAGTATACACTTGTACTCCATTTCTCTTACTATCCTCCTTTTGATTAAAGTCATAGCTGCCCCTGAATGTTTACTGTGAAAGACAGTTCAAGGATATCTAGGTTTTTTTTTTTTTTCAGCCCACAGTTTCGAACAGTCTTCAAAATGGAGCCTTCTTTGGATTGTTATCAGTGTGGTGTGTAGTTAGTGGGTGTAGAGACACGGTTCCTTGAGCCTCAGTTTCCGCATTTGTAAAAAGGGAAGGGTGTTGCTTTGAAGGATAGATGTGAAGGTTTTCAAATGACTTGGTGTATCAATGAAAAGGGCCCACGTTGGAGGAGATGAACGATAAATGCTTGTGCCTCCTGCTTTCATCTCTCTGACTTCAGAGATGTGGAGAGAGCCCTGTGTACTTCTGCTGACTTTGTGGATCTTGGGATCGGCTGAATTGCTTGACCTGATTTTTGGAAGCTCCCCCTCTTCTCACGCTCCTCTGCTGCAGAAGAGACGCTCTGGGGGCTGAGGGATTTGTTTTGTATTTGTTTTTCCTCTCCTTCCTAAAGCTGAACTGTGGAATTCCTTTCCTTCTGGTTGGCTGCATCCTGTGTCCCTCCCCACCCCACCTTTTCTCTCTCAAATACATCTAGGACTCTGGAGTGGTATTTCAGAGCCTGGTTGTACATGTCAGCACTGGGCCAGATGGCAGGGGACGGCTTGCCTAGTCCTGCCCCTTGGAGGGAGGGCTACCCTTATGTTTGTGGGTCTTCTTGAAGAAGCTTGCTGTAGAAGATTCTAGAAACTTAACTTTTTCCTCTAACGAAGGACTGTGCCAGCAAAAGAAGTCTTCAGAAATCATGTTGGGCCACAGGTCCAAAGACCTAGATTTTAAACTTACTGGGGGGACTGGCGCAAGACCAGACTGGTTTGTTCCAAATCCCCCTTTCTTCTCTGTGATGCTTGGGAGTTGGTGGCCAGGATTCTGGAGTCACTCACTCCCGGGCCTGGTAATATTCAGATTCAAATACCTTTGGTGGGATGCACGAGCCCTAGTCCATAGAGAAAGACAGATAGTCCCTTCTGGAGCTTCCAGACTCTAGATCCATGTACCTGATTCAAATTTCCTCCCTGAGGGACCTTGCCGCGACTTCCGTGTCTGGTGGTCACCTAGTCAAATGTCCCACGAAGGCAGGGAAACTGGGAATGAATATATGGGCAAAAGGTAGGTCCAAAGAAAAGCCTGAATGAATGAAGAGAGAGAGATCTTGTCTGTCATTGCTGCCCCCCCTCTACCTACTTCTGGAAAGGATGGGAGATGGCATTGGGGTAAGACCCCAGTTTCTCCCCCGCCCCCTGTCCAGGAAGCAGCAGTTTGTTGATCAAGAGCCTGGATTTAGACATGGGAGCCAGAAGGCTTAGGTTTTGGTCCTTGCTGCCTGACCTCGAGCCGTTTCCTCAGCTTCCACGTCATTATCTGTGAGATGCGGATAATACTACCACCCACTTCACAGGATTAAAAGTACCTACCTCACAGGATTATTGTGAGGCTGCGTTAATAGATGTGAAAGCACCCAGAACAGTGCCGAACATCATAGAAGGTATTCTATTCAGGTCAGCTAGTGATCCCCGGTTTCTGAGAGGCAATTAATTATGTTTTTCAAAAAGTTGCAACCATCTGCAGAAATGTCAATGTCATCATATTACCTTTTAGGAACGAGAAGGTCTGAGCAATTGCCTCAGCTCCTCTCCGCCTCTGCTCATGTTTTTGTTAACGCTTCCCTCTCATTTGCCTTAATCTGTAAACATTTGGTACTCATTTCTGAGAATGAGAACAGCAATTTCTCCATGATCCCTGTGACCCCACCCCTGGGAGAGACTGGGTGAAATACACTTGCCTTATGCCACTTAGACGGTGGGGCCTGACTTGCGTTGTGGAGGAGGACCAACCTTAATGAATACCCACGGTCGATTCAGCCCCCTGCTCCGTGATAGACCCTGGTGTCTGGTTCGATGGCCTTGACTGCCCTGTGCTTGGTGTGTATATCCTGACTGTCCTGTGCTCCGTTTTAAGGTGAGGAGGGCGAGGCTCCGAAAGGTTAGGGGGTTGGCCAGGTTGATTGGGTGACGGGGGACATGTTGGTGGAGGGACCCAGGTCTTTGTGACCCTGGGCTACTTCCTTTTTCTGCTGGCTTCCTTCCTGTCCTCCAGTTGCTTCCTTCCTCCTCTTTGCTGCTTTTCTGAGTCCCACAGTCCTCACCTGGCCTTTCTTGGAGAAAGTGGGTTCCTCTACTGCTAGGAATATACCCTAAGGAAATGATCCAAAATGCTCATGTAAACCATGCCCAGTAGTGTCTGCTGGAGTCTGCTTCGTGAGAGCGGAATGAAGGCAACAAGCGAGCTGCTCAGGAGGATGGGAGTGGGTTACAGATGTCACGGTGAGCCACTGTGAGGGTAAACGGCCATCTCAGGCGTTGACAAGAGCATATAGTGATGCTTCATATGGTTGCACGGACATTGCACGGACAAAGCCAGCTGTGAAATATTGTCTGCGGAAGCTAAGTTGATTTTGTAGAGTAGCTGGAATTAACTTGTCCTTCATGGTCCTAGTGGTTGCCTCTAGCTGATGTGTGACTTTTCCCCCTTCGCTATGCTTTCCTGTGTTTCACAGCATTTCCCCAATGTGTCTGTGGGACTTTTCCAATCAGGGTTGGGTAAAAAGAGGTGGCAGAAGGGAAGATGGCCACTGTCCCTTGGGAGTGGGCCGCCACTGAGGCTCGGAAGGGGCCGGTGGGTGGCAGAACTGGCCTCTCAGGGACATCAGATCCATGCATTCTCCCCTTTGCCCCTGACAGGCCCGCTGAGGAAGAGCTGAGGATGAGGAGGTCAGAGGACAGCACCCCTGCTGTGGGTAAGCAATTGGCAGGCTGTGGAGGTTTCAGCTTCTGCGCACTATTCCTTTCTTTCTCCCCGTTTTCTCTATATGAATTAGGAGGTCCCCTCTGCCTTCAACTGTCTCAGATAGCCTCAGAGACAAAAAGCCAAGTAGCCCAAAGAGTAGCCTTTCTTTTTTCTTCTTTATATTTTATTTATTTATTTGACACAGAGAGAGAGAGAGATCACAAGTAGGCAGAGGGGCAGGCAGAGAGTGAGGGGGAAGCAGGCTCCCTGCGGAGCAGAGAGCCCGATGTGGGGCTCGATCCCAGGACCCCGAGACCACGACCCGAGCCGAAGGCAGCGGCTTAACCCACTGAGCCACCCAGGCGCCCCAAGAGTAGCCTTTCTTAACTAAACCTGGCCTGCCCGGACACCAGCTTCACTCCAACGCTACCCCTTCTCTTCTCTCCAGCAGAGCGCCCTAATGTCCAGGAGTCAGTGGGTCCCCTGGTGGCCCCCACCCCTCTCCGCCCATGGCCTCAGATGACGCTTCAGGTAAGCAGGCCCTGGCGGCCTCTGGATGGACAGCCCAGTGGGAGACTGGGTGGTGGGGGCCAGCTTGCTCCAGGTCTACCCTAGGTCAGAGGGAGTCCCCCCAAAGCAGAGCCTGAGGGCGGAGGGTGGACAGCCGGGATTCACCCGAGCTTTTGTTATGTTAGCAAACACTTATCAAGTGCTTGCCCTGTGCCAAGCAATCCTGGGCACTGGGAAGCTGGGAGCGACCAAAAAAGAGGTCTCCGTGGGACTTACTTACATTTTGGTGGAGTGAGACATGACAAAACAAAAGAATAGTTAAAATATATGCTGTTTTAGGTGATGATGAGTGCTGAGGAAAAAAATAAAGGGATGGGGAGTGTGTGTGTCATACACGTGTGCGTGCACATGTGCATGCATATGGGGGTGGGGGGAAGGTTTGTGAGTTTAGAGCAGGCGAGGCCTTCATGGAAAGTGAGATTTGAGCAAAGATTGGAGAAGGTAAGAGTGAGCCACATGAGTAACTAGGGGAAGAACATCCCAGGCAGCTGCAAAGCCCCCCCAGGCGGGGCCATGACTAATGTGTGAGGAACAGCAGGGAGCAGTGAGCGGCGGTGGGGGGGGCGTTGGGGAGCAGCAGGAGGTGAGGTCAGACAGATCACATAGCATCTCGTGGGCCTTGGAGAGAACTCGGGCTTTTACTCTGAGTGACAGTGGAGCCACGGAAAGGTTGTGAGCGGAGGAAGGCCATGATCTGATTTAGGATTTAACAGGCTCCCTTTGGCTGCTGTGAGGACCGTGGGCTGTAGGAATGAGGGCAGAAGCAGGGGGACCGTACGGGGAGGCAACTGCAGTGGTCTGGGCAATTGATGCCAGAGATGACAGGGGAGATAGAGATTCTGGAGATGTATGTTAGAAAGAAAGAGAGAGCATGTGTGTATGTGTGTGTTTTAGTACAAAGGTTTTCAAACATATATAGAAGGAAAGAGACTAGTATAATGAACTCACATATTCCTGTCACCTAGCTTCAACAAATTTCAGCACATGTCCATTCCTACTTTTTCCATACCCTCTCTGCCCCACCCCGCAATTGCCTATGGAATTATTTTGGGAAGAAATCCAGACATTATCTCATCCACAAATATTTCAGTTTGTATCTCATAAAATTAAGCACTCTTTAAAAAAAAAACACAATGCAGCATCATGCCTCAGGAGATCAACAGTTAGTCCTTAGTATCATCAAATATTTGATCAGTGTTCAAATTTCCTTATCTCATAGATGTTATAGGATCCAAACCAGGTCAACACATTACATTTGGTGGATGGGTCTTTTTTAGATTTAAAATCTCCCTCACTTTTCTGGCAGTTTGTTTGTTGAAGAAACCTTGTTTGTCCTGTAGAGTTTCCCACAGGCTGGTTTTGGCTGATTGTATGGAAACACATTTCTCACTCTTTTTTAAATCAATATGTTAATTCCACTTAATTAATGTGATCTATTAAATCCAATTAATCCACTTTAAATTGATTTATTAAATACCATCTATTATTATGAAACTAATTTAACTAGAATTGATTCTATTTAATTCTCTTATTCCCATTTCATTTAGTAACTGGAATTCTTTTCCAAGGAAAAACGTTCTCATATCAACCGTTTGGCTGCCTTGAGGGTATATAATTTGTATTGAAAAAGCTGTATAAATGCTTAATTTTTTCCCTTTTATTTACCAGTTTTCAGAAGAAGTGAACTTCTCCAAAGGTGACCAACTAAAGGATTTTTGGTTTTGGTGTATTATTACTAACTCATGAATTTTAAACATATTTGTTAAGTTTCCACCCATTGCATCTATTTACTCATTTTGATGTTTAAATTGAACTCTCTCCAGTCAGTAGGAACTTGTTTACATTGGTTCCAGAGTCCTTTTGAACACAGTCCCATCATTCTTTGACCACTTCTTCAGATTCTTGAATGACAGTGTGTCCGAGACTCATTTTGTACTTACCCTACCCACAGCCATTTAGTTAGAAAGCTCTGGTTCCTTTTAGGGGAGAATGGTATTTAGAAACTAGAATCTGGGTGCTCCGTGTGCTTTCCTCCTGCTAGATAGGCCATTGTTTCTAGGCCTTGTCAAAATAAATGTTTTTGAAAGAGAAAATACCTGAATTCATGTGGATATTCTGGATCTGTTTTAGAGGTCAGCCAACAGTACTTACGGAGAGCCATTCACCAAATGTTGGGGCCCACTGCCTTCCTTAGCTTAATGATCTGCAGGAAGTCCCCTTTTACTCCATCTGATTTGGTTATGTTAATAAAGATGACATAGGCTTTGGCATTTGGAGCATTAGAGAGGGCTCTTTAAGGAGGGTGTACCTGGAAACACGGGTGGGGCTGGGTGTGGGCTGTCACCAGTCTCACTGTCTCTGCCTGTCCCATCCCCTCCTCTACTTCATTCCTCTTCCTTTCTCTCCCCTCCTGCCCTACCCCCCTCCCAATGGCTCTAGGTTTCTGAAGTTACAGTGACTGGCAAACCCCCAGAGGAAGGTGACGTCCCCAGAAGCAATCCGCCTGTGGCTTTCACAGAGGTCCCCCAGGCACGGGCCATCAGGATTCTCCCCTCTTCCTCTCTCTGTGGCCTGGGTGGCTCCCCCAGGGACCAGGCCTCGGGGCCCGATGCAAGTGAGGGGGCAGCCGGGCCTCTTCTGGAACCCAGCCAGCAACAGGTGGAGGCCACGTGGGAAGTATCGCAAGAGAATGGAGGGGGCCGAAAGGATTCCATGGTGGGGGCCTTAATGGATGAACCCCCTGGGGGTCTGGAGGTTGTGGGTGGGTTAGAGGAGCTGCTTGGTGAGGACACCATTGACCAGGAGCTGGAGCAGCTCTACCTGTCCCACCTGAGCCGCCTGCGGGCCGCTGTGGCTGCAGGTGGGGTGGGAGGTGGCGGGGAGGGCCCCACAGATGGGGGAGTATCCCCCAGCCATCCCCTGGGCATACTCACGGACCGCGACCTGATCTTGAAGTGGCCTGGCCCCGAGCGGGCCCTGAACAGCGCCCTGGCTGAGGAGATCACCCTGCACTATGCCCGGCTGGGGCGTGGTGTGGAGCTTATCAAGGACATTGAGGATCCTGATGAGGAGGGGGAGGGCGAAGAGGGACTCTCCATTGTACCCTCCAGCCCAGAAGGGGACACCCCCAAGGAATCACCTCCAGAAATCCTCTCAGGGGTCCATCCTGTGGTAGCCACTATGGGAGATGTGTGGCTCCCGTGGGCAGAGGGCTCGGGCTGTGACAGCCCCGTGGTTCTGGGTGCAGAGGGTCAGTTCGCTGGGGCTCCAGAAAAGGGGATGGGCAAGGACGCCGACTCTCTGCGCATAAATAGGGTGATGGCTGGGGTGACCGGGCCCCCAGGGGAGAAAGAAGGCCGGATGGAGTTTACCACTGAGTGGGCAGACAGCTTGGTTCCTAGATCTGGTAAGGAGCCAGCTGCTCCAGTCCTACGGGGGCAAAGTTTGACCCTCCTCAGTCCCTCGGGGGCTGAAGTCTGTCCTTCTAGCCTGGCCAGGCCCCATATGAGCCCCCAGGATGAAGAGAGTGCAGGCCCAAGCCTGGAGCCCCCAAAGAAGTCTCCCACCTTAGCAGTCCCTGCAGAAAGTGTGTGTGTATTGCCTCCCCAGCTGTGGGGGCCCTTGACCCAGACTGTGGGGGTCCTGGCTGTGTTGGTGGTGGTCCCTGTGGCTCTGAACAGTGGTATGTCCCTCCTGGTGCTTGCGCTGTGCCTCTCTCTGGCCTGGTTCTCGTAGAGGCTGATTGTATGGGGTGCAGCAGTAACAGACGTCCCCCCTCTCTGGGGTGTGGAGAGAGGCCGTCCCTGCACTGCACCCAGGGGGTTCAGATAGGATGTGTGGCCTGTATAGTGAGGGGTCTTTTGCTTCTGAGAATGCCCAACTGGAGAGACACCTTCCCGTCCTTGAGGACTTGTTGGCACAGGGCTCCCTGTGGTGATGCCTGTGGAGGGGAACAGGGCACGGTGGACGGTGTGAGATAACTTTCAGAGAGGAACTGGGCATGTCCTCCCTTCCTCCCCACCCAAGCCTGTATTTATTTTTGTATAATTCTCTGGACGAGGGCGAGTGGTCGTGAGCTGGTCTTGGGGCACAATTACCCAGAGATATATTTATTAACAGCCAACCTGTGCAACCTGCTGGAGCTTTATTTTTAATTTAATTTATATAGAGTACCTATTATTATATGCCACAATAGAGCTCTATGAGAAATGATGTGTCTTGCTGTACAGTGTTCTCCCGTGTGGGCCTGAGTGTGTGGGGTGGTCCCGTTCTATGGGAGGGGCGGGTAGGGAGTTGGCCGTGGGACATAGCCATGTCTGCTGCCACAGCTTCAGTACGTGTCACCTCACCTTATGGTCCTGCCCTGTGTGGTCTGGTGGTCTTTGGAGGGGCGGGTCCTTTGGTCTTTTCTATATTCTGCCAGGGAGGGAGGAAGAATGATTGCCATGTGAGGGTTTGGTGTCGAACACACGGCTGTGGCGGTGGATGTGGTCAGCTGTAGATGTGGGAATACTGGCTGCGAATAAGTCACAAGGTTTTGAGGTTCCTGGGAAAAAAAAAGAAGCCTTTGACACCAGGAAGGAGACCCTTCTGTCTCCAAGATTGGGAAGGTCTCAGAAGGGACAGAGGAGTTAATGTGCTGTGAAGAATTCATACCACAGTTGCTGTCCACAGACTTTGCCTTTATAACTCAAAACAGGAAACCCAGAAGCTTTGAAAGAAAGGATAGATATATTTACTGCATGCAAATAAAAATCTCTGCATTAGCACAACAAAACACCATATATTTATTTACTTGCCTTCGCAACAAAACTTTACACCAACTTTCTTTCATTCTTCTCTAGGGCTCCCCTGCTTTTCTGAAACAGCCCCAATCAGATTGTTTGCCCAGCCACTTCAGCAAAAATCCCTGATGATATTTGATTGGTCCATCAACAGCCACATCCCAGATTTCATCTTCCTTGACCTATTGGCAACATTTGACACAGCTGGTCGTCTCCCCCACCTTGAAATCTCTCTTTACTTGGTTTCTGGGACACCACACTTGCCTGGTTTTCCTCTTTCCTTGTTGGCCACTCTTCTAGAACAGGGCCTGGCACCTAGTAAGTCCTCAATAAATGCCTGCTGATTGAAATAAATGAGGGAACAAATAAACGGATGTGGGAAAATAGAGACATGGTTAGAGAGCCTAGCTGGGCATTCAGTGGTGACAAGCTCGGGTCAGTTCCACAAATGTGGACTGACCACCTCTTCTCTGTTCTGAGGACACAAAGGAAGGATCTCATAGTCTAGTGGGAGAGACAGATACAGAGAAAGGATTTTAGTACAGTGTGACTAGCTCATTAGCAGTGACGGGGGCTTCAGGACATATGCTCAGCCCAGTGTGGGGACTCTGGAAACCTTTTGGGAGGGCATAGTGCCTGAACTGAGTTAAAAAATGAGAAGGAATCCAGCAGATAGTAGAGGGGAAGAGAGGGCAGTCCAGTCAGAAGGAATAGCATTGCAGAGGTTTGGAAGTGGAAAACAGGTACTGAAAACAAATTCAACACCCACTCATTTCATCTTTCAATGAGGATATTCTCACTTGGCCAAATATCAAAAGCGCAAACAAGTGTCCGTGGTCTTCCACTGATGTGATTATTTGCTCAATGTCCAAAAAGGCAACTTTCTGCCAACTGGATTGAAAAGTTAGATACAATGGACAAAGTACTCAAATTACTACAGACATGTAACTTGCCAAAACTGTCTCAAAAAAAAAAAAAAGAGGAAAAGTTGAGCAGTCCTATAACCATTAAAGTAACAGAACCTATAACCGGAAGTCTTCCCATACAGAAACTCTGGGCCCAGATGGCTTCACTGGTGAAACACTCAAGGAACAAATAATTCTGATTTTACAAAAGCAATTCCAGAGTGCCATAAAAGGGAGCATCTAATTCGTTTTATGGGGCTGATAGAATCTTGATCCTAAAACTTGATGAGTGAAAAAAGAATATTATAGATCTCAAGAAAATATACAAATACCTTAAACTAACCAGCTGCCTATCTTGGTCTGCTTAGGCAGCCATAACAAAATAGTGTAGACTATGTGGCTTGAAAACAACAAACATTTATTTCTCACAGCACCAGAGGCTGGGAAGTTGAAGATCAGAGCACCTGAAGATTTGGAGTCTGGTGGGGACCAACGTCCTGGTTCATAGATGGCTCTCTTCTTGGGGTGTCTTCACATAGTGAAGGGGCAATGTTACTCTTTGGGGTTTCTATTTTTTTCTTTTTAAAGATTTTATTTATTTATTTGAGAGAGAAAGAGCATGAGAGGGGAGAAGGTCAGAGGAAGAAGCAGACTCCCCGCAGAGCTGGGAGCCCAATGCGGGACTCGATCCCAGGACTCCAGGATCATGACCTGAGCTGAAGGTAGTGGCTTAACCAAGCCACCTGAGCCACCCATGGAGCCCAATGCGGGACTCAATCCCAGGACTCCAGGATCATGACCTGAGCTGAAGGTAGTGGCTTAACCAAGCCACCTGAGCCACCCATGTGCCCACTCTTTGGGGTTTCTTATAAAGGTACTCATCTCATTCATGAAGGCTCCACCCTCATGATCTAATCACCCCTAAAGGCCCCCACCTCCTAATACCATCACATTGGGGGTTACGTTTCAACATACAGCTTGTGAGGGGACATAATCATTCAGTCTCTAGCACTGCCTACATTCAATACATTTAAAAAGTGTAATATGACCAAGTTGGATCTATTCTAGAACTGCAACATTTTTATTTAACATTTAACATTTGAGCTCAGGCAACAAAAAGTTGCTTCATTAACATATCAAAGGAGAAACCACAATAATCTCAATAGCTGTAGAGAAAGCGTTGGATTAAATTTAACATCTATTCATGATTTTATTTTGGAAAGATTTTATTTATTTGAGGGGGTGGGGGAGCAGAGGGAGGAGTGCTGCGTGCAGAGCCCAATCTCGCAACCCTGAGATCATGACCTGAGCCAAAATCAAGAGGTGGATGCTTAACTCACTGAGCCACCCAGGTGCCCCTCTATTCTTGACTCCAAAAACCTTAGCAAGGGACAGCTGGGTGGTTCAGTCGGTTGAGCATCTGATTCTTAATCTCAGTTCAGTTCTGATCTCATTGTAAGTGCAAGCCCCACATTGGGCTCCACACTGGGTATAGAGCCGACCTAAAACAGAAACAAAGACAGACAAGCAATAAAAACCTTAGGAAATCAGTTGAATACATTTTCTTAACATAAAAGATATCTATCTACAAGGATTTACAGTAAACGACATACTTCAAATGAAATTTTAAGAGCTCTGACATTTGAAATGTGTCAAGGATGCCTGCTATCACCATTTCTTTTTTTTTTAAGATTTTATTTATTTATCTGATAGACAGGGATCACAAGTAGGCAGAGAAGCAGGCAGAGAGAGAGGAGGAAGCAGAGTCCCCGCTGAGCAGAGAGCCCAACATGGGGCTCGATCCCAGGACCCCGGGATCATGACCTGAGCTGAAGGCAGAGGCTTTAACCCACTGAGCCATCCAGGCGCCCCTGCTATCACCATTTCTACTCAGCATTGTACTGGAGGTCCTAGCAAGAACAGTAAGGCAAGGAAAGGCAAGGAAAAGAAATTAAAAATATTCAAAGATTGGAAATGAAGAACAGAATTGTCATTATTTATAGATGATACTATTGTGTATATGGAAAATCCAAAATAGTCCATGGACAAATTATTACAATTATTAAGAATTTAAAAAGATTTTTGATACAAAAATCCATATTCAAAAATCAATTGCTTTTATTTATTTAGTTTTAAAGATTTTATTTATTTATTAGACAGAGAGAGAGAGAGAGAGATCACAAGTAGGCAGAGCAGCAGGCAGAGAGAGGAGGAAGCAGGCTCCTAGCTGAGCAGAGAGCCTGATGCGGAGCTCGATCCCAGGACCCTGAGACCATGACCTGAGCCGAAGGCAGAGGCTTAACCCACTGAGCCTCCCAGGCACCCTCAATTGCTTTTATATCCTAACAAGAGACAGAAAATTTTAATAAAGATACCATTTATGAACTACTTAGAAGTTAACAAAAGAGGGCAAGATCTTTCTTTTTTTAAAAGATTTTATTTTGGGGGCACCTGGGTCGTGCCCCAGGATCCCATGGTCTTGGGGTCAAGCCCCACATCAGGCTCCCTGCTCAGGAGGGGGGTCTGCTTCTCCCTCACCTGCTCCCCCCGCTTATGCGCGCTCTCTCTCTCTCTCATCAGATAAACAAATTTCTAAAAAGATTTTATTTTTAAGTAACCTGCACACCCAATGTGGGATTTGAACTCATAACCCTGAGATCAAGAGTTACATATTCTACTGACTGAGCCAGCAGGCACCCCAAAAAGGCAAGCTCTTTTAGTTAAAAAGGTATAAAACCTTATTGAAAGATTTTATTTTATTTTATTTTTTAAAAGATTTTATTTATCCATTTGACAGATCACAAGCAGGCAGAGAGGCAGGCGGTGGGGGGGGGAAGCAGGCTCCCTGCTGAGCAGAGAGCCCCTCGCAGGGCTCGATCCCAGGACCCTGAGACCATGGCCTGAACTGAAGGCAGAGGCTTAACCCACTGAGCCACCCAGGCGCCCCTGAAAGATATTTTAAAAGACTAATTAAAGAGATATACATGTTACTGAATGAAAGTCAATGTCATAAAGCTGTCAGTTCCCTCTGAACTGTTTGTAGGTTCGGTGTAAAACCAGTCACGATTTCAAAAGATTTGCGTGTCTGCATATCAAGCAAGTTAGTTCTTAAATTTATGTGTAAGTGCCAACTAGCCAGAATACCCATACTTAATTTAAGGTATAGCGATTAAGATGGTGTGATATTGCTACAAAAGTAGACAAATACCTTTCATTGGAAAGACCAGTGGTCTCAGAAAAAGACCCACTTACATGTAGACTCAGAATAGGTAGCCAATGAGGTGTTGTGATACCAGTGGGAAATGGTTGGACTTCCAATAAGTGGAACAATCCGTTATCCATATTGAAAAAAAATGAACTTGGATCCTTATAACACAAAAATAACTCTAGACATGTTCAAAACCTAAATGTAAGAAGCAAAACCAAAGAGCTTTAAGAATTTAATATAGAAAAATACCTTTATATACTCATGGTAGAAGTTTTTCTTAAACAAGACGCAAAATACTAACCACAAATGACAATT